GTGTCGTGTGTGGTGTGTGCCTCGCTGGGCGGTGTCGTGTGTGTGGCGCGTGCCCCGCTGGGCGGTGTCTGTGTGTGTGTGTGGCGCGTGCCCCGCTGGGCGGTGTCATGTGTGTGGCGTGTGCCCCGCTGGGCGGTGTTGTGTGTGTGTGTGTGTGGCGCGTGCCCCGCTGGGCGGTGTCGTGTGTGTGTGGTGTGTGCCCCGCTAGGCGGTGTCGTGCAGGTGTCATCAGCTGAAACCACCAGAGCTCTCCACAAGAGCTGGCACCCAGCAGCTATGCTTCTCCAAGCAGGAACACATCTGAGGCAGCTCGGGAGGCACCTGGTCACCTAGAGGGGCTGACGGAGGCAGGGTCTGTGCAGCAGGGCCCAGCCAGAGGCCCAGGGATCACTGTGGGAGCCACTGAGCAACCCAGCCTTCGCAGCTGACCTAGCATGCCCAGTCCCAGCCGACCCCAGTCCTCCCAGTGCGGGAATTCAGCAGCCAAGCAGGATGACACACAGGGACCCAGTGTGGCTTTTGTACCCCAGCTGAGTCCACACGCAGTCCAGCTGTGGTTGCATGGAGGGTGGCCCTGGGGCCGCTCAGACATTTGCCTTGGGTGGGTGCCACCCCCTGGTCCATCCTCAGCCCCAGGAGCAGGTCTGAGCATTGTGGGGCATTGGGCAGTGTCTGAGTGTGCCCTGTCCTGAAGGCGCAGCATGGGGCCTCCTGCCCTTGCCCCTGCCCTGGCAGGGCCCTGGGACAGCACCTCAGCTCCAGCTGTGGGCCTACCGGAGGGAGCCCATGCCAGGCCTGGCCTCCTCTGGAATCCGGGTACTTGGTTCAGACACACAGGCCCCCATTTCAAGCCCCACTCTGGGCCCCACTAACACCCTGTCTTCTCCGTTTTTGTCACCAGGGGTCGGGCCCCGGCTCGGTGGTCCCAGGCAGCTCGGGGGTCGGAGCCCCCAGACAGTTCACGCGACAAAGAATCACGCGGGTCAACCTCAGGGACCTCATATTTTGTTTAGAAAATGAACGTGAGACAAGCCATTCACTGCTGCTCTACAAAGCATTCCTTAAGTGACACAGGAGGACGCCTGGGGACTTTTTATATATTTGCAGATTACGCCTTTTTGTAACAAGCAAATGGGATATTGTTTAAAAAACAGCCACCTCTTTACGATGGAACAGTTTTATATTTTCCTGTTTCTAAATCAACTCTTCAGTGTGAAAGAAAAGACGTTTCTGTAACAGAGAGAACACAAAGGCCTGTGGATACTCTTAAAGGACAATTAAATCTTAACTCATCTTGATTGAGTGGCCTTCTTGCCAAACAAGCCATATATAAAGACTGATGGAATCGTTAGCAAATAATTAGCTGCCCTCTGTCAACTCATAGCAGTTTCTGCATTATTTGTGCATTTTGGTTTAGTTCTACCTAACTTACTGTGTAGGTGTATGTCTACAGCCGATGACCTCATTTTATTTTATTTTTGTAATAGTCAGTTAGCAAAGCAAACTGATTTTTTAGACTATTTATCTTCCTTCCCCTCCCCTCTCC